GGTCCAGTTGACTATTATCTTTATTTTTTTTAGTGATAGGATGAAGAATGAAAATGACCCTCCTTATAAATATTCATATCTGGTGGCAATAAAACCACCATTTAAAAAGCAGCAGGCATGCTGGTATTATATATTTAGCTGTCAGTGTACTTCATATTTCTCTAATGTGCTGCTGCTTCAGACAGTGGCCTTACCCTGATCCTTTCATTAAAGACTCTCATTAATGAAACTAACATAGGGGTAACTTTCTATTGGTACTACTCTACTAATTTCTTTAACTCTGCAAAAGCTGAATAGTCTAGACAAAACATGTATTTGTTCACAAGGCAAATCTTTTGGCACAAAAAACTAACTGAACTTTTTTTTTTTTTTTTTGCTAACTGAACTTTAAAAACACTTGTCTCAAAGACACATAGTAATCATTAGTAAACCATAGGTATATAGAGAAAATGAAGTGTAGCAAAAAGAGTAAGTTTTGGGAAATACTGGTACTTCAAGATGTTCCTGGGGGTATAGTGAGAGAAAGGCATCATGGTATCTTTCTCTCTTGGACATCTACATTGCATATGTTTAACATGTTATAAGCCCCTGAGAAGTTCTGGAGTAAGGACACCACTTTACCTCAACATGTCCCAATTTTGCTTGATCAGGAAATCTTTTATCTTCAATATGTGATCTGAGCAAGAAATCTAACCTTTCTGAGACATTATTTTCTCATATGCAAAAAAGATAATCATCTTGTCCTATCTCACAAGATGATTGACAGGAGCAAATGAGTTGGTATTTGTAAACCTGCTTCGTAAACTATATGCACTGCTAGTTATATGTTATCATTACCATTAAGAGTAATAATGAGTTTAGAAATAGACATTTCATTCTTCCTGGAAGTCAAAAACAAAAATTGCTGAAGGGATTACAATATTAAATATATTTCCTCCAAAGGTTTTCCATTCTTAAAAGCACAACTAAATTTTAGTAATTCTCACAGTAGTAACAAGCCATACAAAGGTACTGCCATCTGCAGGCCATAGAGATGGAATGCTTGCAATGGTTATTTAAAATGAAACCATTAGGCACTTTCTCATCAGACTTCTAAAGCCTTTCCAAAAGATGTTTATTCTTAGCTTTTGAGCACAGGTAGATGAGGCTCCATTTGCTGAAGTTCTGAAACTGAGTCAAGTAAAAAAAATTATCATTTCTTCTCTACACAGAACTGCTGCTTAGAAATGTGAAGAAAATTACCTTAGCCTTATGTAATTTCTACATTGTGCTCATACCAAAGTAATCCCAAGAAATATGGATTTTTTTTTTACACAGCCCAAGGAAAAAATCTTTGAGTAGCCTGAGCTGACTTTTCAGAGTAACCTTTTCATAAATTAAAGTGAATGTGCTTGTTCTCACACAAAAACAGAGGTTATGAACAGGCTACAAATAGAACAGACTGTTAGCTTGTTAATTTGTCAACGCCTCCCTTAAACGTGAGGTGTTTACAGGCACGGGACATTGGGTAACCTGCACCCAGAAAAATTCCTTCCCCTGGGCCTTGTAGTATGGTTTCTCCGGCACATTCTATCAGGAATCACTGTTTCTATGTTTTAGGTTAAAAGATTTTTGTCAGAGGTTTCAAAGAATATCTGGAGCTAAAAGACAGGCAAAGAAACCAGGATGAAGGAAGAATCTGATCTTAGCACACAGTCAAGTGATCTCCAATACCCACAATGCAATGCTTGGGCTTTACTGGTTTGAAAAAGTCACCACTGAAAGTTAGTTTTCACACCCAGACTGATCAATTAAAAAAACATTAAATCTTGAGCTGTCAATACCCCAAACTGCTCCATCCGCGTCTGCAGAAACAGCTTTTTATGAACTGTCAGGTGCCCACCACACCACCACGCTACAAGGCACACCGCATGCACCTGGGCGGAGAGCTCCTGCATCCCTCCTATCATTTTAAGTCAATAATGAGAACACTTTACAACCAGCACGTTTATGATATGAATTACCATCCCCAAAGGTCCTGGGGGCATTTCAGACTCTGCTATGCCTCAGGGGAACATTCTGTGCACAGAGGAAAGGTCAGAACAACTAACCCCATACTCCTAGGGCAGCGCTTCCCAAAGCGTGGAATGCAGAATAATTGCAGCAGGAACAAGGACGCACTGTTTATTTTAATAGACAGGTATTTATTTTTTTTTTTTTGAGCATTAGAAAGAGAACTGACTTCCATGATACGGTTGTGACATACGTTTCCACCCTAAACAAATATATGCAAGAAGGGGGAAGAAGGAGAGTCAGTGTAAAGGGAAAAAAATGGACATTTGGTAAAATAAACAGCAGTATAGATGGTACCCGGACATAAAGGTGCAACGCGAGGGCCTGGAATTTGGGGAACGCCGTCCTAAGAAAAAGGCCCTGGCGGGTGGTCCCGGTGTGGAAAGTCACGAGGCAGGAGAGCCAGCAGGCTGGGGTGCTGGCTCTGCCGCTACCTCCGGGGTCACCTCGGCATAGTTTCTTTCCCGGTTCTCGGGGCTCGTGGCCCGCGTTATAAGACAAACAGACTGCTGTCACACGACAAGGAGACGCCTGGAGGATGCTGTCAAGGGGCCGCGAGGCGGGCGATCCCGGGCACCGCGGGGTTCGCCGCCCGGCGCTGTACACCACGGAGAACGCCGGGTTCGAATCCCGACTGCGCCACCGTCTCGCGGATGACCCGCAGGCGAGCGATTTCACCATTTTGGGAAGCAGGCCGAGATGTGCATCCCTATCCTACAGAGAAGCCTGGGGGCTACTGTCGGCGATTCGCGCGCAGACAGGCGGCTGCAGTGCGGCGCCGCGGGACCCGAGCCCACCACGGGCCTCCCGGAATGGCCGGGCCTGGGCCGCACGAGCGCCAGAGGCCGCGCCCCGCACCGGGCATGCGCAGCCCCGCGCGCACCCAGAGGGAGCCGCGGCTGCGGTGGCGCGTCAAGCAGGCCCTCCAGGCTCAGCCTCCCCCTCCGGCCCGGGTCCGCCTCCACTGCCTGCCCGTCAGTCCCATGCCTCGGCGGACGGCCACCGCTCCCCGGCACTCACCGCTACCAGCACGGCGGACTCCCCGATGCTCCTTCGCCTCAGGCCCGCCGCCGCCGCAGCCTCCGCCTCAGCCCACCTGCCCGCCGTAGGACAAAGGCGCCACCAACCGACCGGCGCGGGCACGAGGCAATGGCGGTTGGGGCGGAGAGTGGGGGCCAGAGGGCGCGCACGCAGCGACAGGCGCGGCAATGTCGCAAAAGCGCGTGGGTTTACGGTAGGGCTGAGTTGGGACATGGATTTTATTCAGCTCTGAGGGCAGTTGAGAGCGCTAGCGGTTGCTTAGTAACGGCGTCCCCAGCCGGATCTTCCCACCCCAAAGGGCTCCGCCATTCTTCTAATTTTCAGAGAGCCTTCTTTCTTTGTGAAAATAGGTCATATAAACCCTAAAATACTTTGATTTAGTTTTGCATAAAACTGAAAGAAAACCAAAACACCTTAGAAGTCTGTGTGTGTGTGTGTATATATACACTGAGTGGCTAGATTATTATGACCGCCTGACGTTTGTAGGCAAATTAGCCGTACACTGCATCGTCTGGGATATGGAAACCGAAGACCTGTTTGAACACCTTTGATGTCTGCAGTTACCAGGATAAAACGTCTCCAATTCGCACAGGAACACAAGGATTGGACAGTCCAGCATTGGAAAAGAGTCATGTGGTCCGATGAATCACGTTTCCAGTTGCATCATGCAGATGGCAGAGTGAGAATTTGGCGAAAACAGCATGAAAGCATGCACTCCACATGCATGAGTACAAACCTTTGAGCTGGTGGGGGCAGTGTTATGGTTTGGGGCATGTTTTCCTGGCATGATTTGGGCCCTTTAATTTGTGTGGAACAACGTCTGAATAGCACAACATACCTAAGTGTCGTTGCTGATCAAGTTCATCCTATCATGTTGATGGCGTATCCCAATGGAGATGGCTTCTTCCAACAAGACAATGCGCCATGCCATGGTGCTTGTATTGTGCAGGAGTGGTTTCAAGAACATGAGGGAGACTTTACCTTGCTTAGGTGGCCCCACAATCACCAGATCTCAATCCAATTGAGCATTTGTGGGACGAAGTTAAAAGAGCCATCAGGCAGCTGGTTCCACAACCATCAAATCTCACAGAATTGGACGGTGCTATTCATCAGGCATGGTGTCAGATTCCTTGCATCACCTTTCAACATCTCGTGAAGTCAATGCCAAGAAGAATCACTGCAGTATTGAAGGCAAAAGGTGGCCAAACGAAGTACTGATGGTGATGGGGTGGTCATAATAACCTGGCCACTTATTGTATATATATATGTATGTGTGTGTGTATATATATATACACACTTATTGTATATATATGTATGTGTGTGTGTGTGTATATATATATATGTATATACACAGTGGCCCAGTGCACGAATTCGTGCACATGGAAAGGAAATTAATTAGAAGAAATATTTTGATATCGCTATTCGCCCTTTCTCTATAATAGAAGTGTCAACCAAATTCATGATCAACAATGACAGATCGAAACCCATGCGTGCAATTGGTGCCAGGGAGAGCTGTATATGTATCGCATGCATGAATCAACTTAGCCTTTTATATATATAGAATAAACTTGCTTAATTAGACCTGCTTTCTGATTTAGCTAAACTTTTTCCAGCCCAGTGAAGCACCCCAACTTCTCTTTCAGGAAATTGTCAGCAACACAGCAGTAAATATCAACATGAAGCAGATTATTATTGTAGATCACACTGGGAGAATAAAGGGTAAAATATTTAACTGCAGTAGTGTTTGACTATATTCTGCACAGTGAGAAAACCTGAAGTCATTTTCAAGGTCCACCATTTCTTACTTCTTTTCAGTCGGGTCAAGTTTCTAAGCTTTCTAAATCTCTGTTTTCCAGCTAATGAAAATAGGATTCCATCGAGTCTCCTATCTACCTACTCCAGGATTTCTGTGAGGATCAAATGAGATGAGGCACGGGAAAACACTTCACAGACATTTGGTTAAGGTAAAATGTTTCCACCTGGCTATAAAGCAAATTGTGTTCCTGGGCTGAAGAAACTGCAAGGAGGCTAGTCTCTAGGGAGAGGAAGCTGGGCATTGCTATGTGACATCATTACCAGGTGCCCATAACCACCATTTCCAGGCTGGGCTGGGCTGTGGGCCACATTTTGCACCATGGGGTCTTGGCAGCATTGGCTGCGTTTTGGTGGGGTGTCGCTCTGGGGTGGTGGCAGGGCCTGTGTCCCACTTGTGGGAAGCCGAGTGTTGCTTTGTGGGTGCCATGTCCGCAGTGCCGTTTCTCTGTAAATGGCTAGTGCGCCTCACAGCAGCTCCTGCATTGAGCATCTGCCCCCTGGTGGTCAGTGCGTGTCATAGTGACCGGTCAGACGGTGGGACACTTAGCATATTAGCCTTTTATATTAGTATATATAGATACTAATTCTTGTAACCTATAGCCTCCGGATCACAAGGAACAGAGCAGAGAAGTAGAAAGTAGAAAAATGTTTTATTTGGATTCACATTTAAATAGGCTGTGTATGTACCCTATTTGTTTCACTGACAAGAGGCAAAAGACTGGTGATATAGTCACAGGCTCTTCTTGAATTATTTATTTTTCTTGGAATATTCAATGCCAAAAATAAATTTCCCAGAATGTAAATGTTGACTGTGAAGCATGTATAATGTTGTATTTTTTACTTAATCTGTAGAATATATTTGTCACTGGAAATGGAATTCAGTGTAAATACACTCGATTTAGCACATCTATCACTATATGAATCAGGGAGGCTGTTCTATTAGTTAGGAAATGCCTCGACCCCATGGGGTCTAGTTTTTCTCTTGTGCCAGGTAACAATGGTGGCTGTGGAATTTGAACACTAGGGGAAGTCAGATCTCTTTGACACTAACTCCTTCACTAATTTACTCACCAAATGCAATGTTTATCATATACCTACTTGCTAGGCACTATTATGAGCAAGTACAAACCCATCCCTGCTATCTTGGAGATTACTGTCTAGTAGAGAGATAGAATTAGGTAAATAATCACACTTGAGTTGTAATTGCAAACAAGTAAATACTGAAGGAAAGACAGAGGGGTGCACTCTATTGTCTAGCTTTCCTTCTTGTGAATAGTGCAGGATGTGTCCAATGCCGATGAGCAGATATGCTCGGCCTTCAGATCCTTACCATAATACATCATGGCACCTGGGAAGGAAGCTGGGTGGTTTTTTTCCACCTCTGCTGAGAGCTCCTGGAAGCAGATTAGGGACTTCTCTCAGGAATTTTTCCTTTACTTTTCCCCAGGTTGTTTTGTTCACTCACTCTAGGTGAGAATTTTCAGGATTTTGTGGAGTCCTTGGCCAATAGGACCATCTGAGAGAGGCGAGGACAGAGGCATTGAGAGTGTGGACAGATGGGCCTGTAGCTTAACCTCATGGGCTTCACAAAATTCCAACCCCCATACCCCACTCCCACAACCTACCTATGCTGTTCTGGAAATTTACGCAGTGCATCATGTAAACAGACCTCTGGTGCTTCAACTTTCTTGGCTCAAGTCTACTAGGGGAATTTACCACTTATGAAGTCTCGGTGGATCAGAACACAGGCAGTAGATTCGACTGGCCTAGTTCACAACTCTACTCCCCACTTCTAGCTGGGAAAGCTTGAGCTTGTTTTTTAACCTCCCCATGCCTCATTTTCTTCATCTGTAAAATGGGGATAAGAATAGTATGTACTTCCCAAGATCAATATAAAGTAAGTTAAATTAAATGAGGTGGTGCACATCATGCTTAAAGGTCTTAGAGTCAAGTCTGTCTCATCGTGTGGGCCCACTAACTCATATATCTCATATTCTCTTGGTTCATTTTATGACAGCATGGTTTGTCTTTCTGTAAATATGCTTGTGCTAACAGACCATCCCTAGAACACAGAGGCCCTTGGGTTTTCATAGACTACTCTGTTCACAGGTATATAGAATAAATGTCACTGGAAGATTAACAGTGAGTCCTTGTGTCCCAGGACATTGGGGGTGGGGTTAGAAGGGACTTTGTTGTGATGATATTGAGTTTGTTGTGAGCCCCAACAGCTAATAGCACCTCAAATTAAGATTCTGCCAACAAAGTGGATCAGAATAGGACTGCCCTGCTTGGCAATTTCTGTTGTATGTTTAAAGAAGTAGCTCAGGGAACTGCAGAATGGTCACCCTAAAGTTCCTTCCAGCCCTCAGGGAGCCCAGCCTCTATGACATAAGTAAATTCCCAGTTATGTCTGTATAGCTTTGTACAACTCTGGCAGTCAGAATAATGATCTCGGAGAAACCAAGATGGCGGCATAGGTAAACACTGGAGTTTGCTGCCTCGAACAACCACTTCAAAAATACAACTAAAAGACGGAACAGACATCATCCAGAACCACAGGAAGGCTGGCTGAGTGGAAATTCTACAACTAGAAGGAAAGAGAAAAGCATACTGAGACTCAGAGGAAGTGCAGTGCGGAAGTAAAATACTAAGGTACAGAGCGCACATGGAGCGGGCTGGCGGCTGAGGGCGTGGTTGTTGTTTTCAATCGGGAGGGAGTCTCAGGCTGTGAGCTCCAGTTCGGGCGAGTCTCTGGAGATCCAGACTCATACGGGAGAAGCAGCACTGTCTGGCATCAGTCGGAACTCGAGGGCAGCTTTCTCTCGGAGGGGCTTGCAGCGATTGCCAAGACACTGAGAAGTGGGGCCTCTGAGAGCAGCCATAACTGCTAGCCCCGCCCTGTTGATCCCGTGGGACCCGCCCCGCCCAATCCCTGCAGGGAGGCTTTTGCTGGATAGCCTAAGGCAGAGGCTAGATTAGCACCTCCCTAGAGATCCAGGAGCCAATGTACCCAGAGGTCAGAGTGGGACCATCCAGTTTGCAGCTCCGTGGAACCATAAAGGACACACTTGGGGCAGACTCAGTGAGCTCCAAAGCCCCACTGAAGCAAGTCTTGCCCCGGAGGGGTGTCTCCAGCACAGAAGTTCTCCCACTGCAGACACAGCTGATTCTCGCAGCCAATTGGCCTGGAGGTCAGTTCCTCCCAGTGATACCTACAACAATTAAGGCTTAACTATAACAAGACTGTGCACAAAGACCACAAGGGGGTGCACCAAGAGTGTCCTCCTCAGGTAATTGGGGAGGCTGAACCACTGGGCCCTAGAGGACACTTAGCACAGAAAACCACTTTATCAACACAGGGAAGCATAAAAAAATGCGGAGACAAAGAAAAAGGACACAAATGACAGAAATGGAGGAAAACAAATTACTGGATATAGAGTTCAAACCACACTTTTAAGGTTTTTCAAGAATTTTTTAGAAACTGCCGATAAACTTAATGAGACCTACAAGAAATCTAATGAGACCCTTGAGGTTGTGATAAAGGACCAACTAGAAATTAAGCATACACTGACTGAAATAAAGAATATTATACAGACTCCCAACAGCAGACTAGAGGATCGCAAGAATCAAGTCAACGATTTGAAATACGAAGAAGCAAAAAACAGCCAACCGGAAAAGCAAAATGAAAAAAGAATCCAAAAATACAAAGATAGTGTAAGGAGCCTCTGGGACAACTTCAAGCGTACCAAAATCTGAATTATAGGGGTGCCAGAAGAAGAGAGAGAGCAAGATATTGAAAACCTATTTGAAGAAATAATGACAGAAAACTTCCCCTACCTGGTGAAGGAAATAGACTTACAAGTCCAGGATGCTCAGAGAACCCCAAACAAAAGGAATCCAAAGAGGACCACACCAAGATGAATCATAATTAAAATGCCAAGAGCAAAAGACAAAGAGAGAATCTTAAAAGCAGCAAGAGAAAAAAAGTCAGTTACCTACAAGGGAGTACCCATACGACTGTCAGCTGATTTCTCAACAGAAACTTTGCAGGCCAGAAGGGAATGGCAAGAAATATTCAAAGTGATGAATGCCAAGAACCTACAACCAAGATTACTTTATCCAGCAAAGCTATCATTCAGAATTGAAGGTCAGATAAAGAGCTTCACAGATAAGAAAAAGCTAAAGGAGTTCATCACCACCAAACCAGTATTATATGAAATGCTGAAAGGTATCCTTTAAGAAGAGGAAGAAGAAGAAAAAGGTAAAGATACAAATATTGAACAACAAATACACATCTATCAACAAGTGAATCTGAAAATCAAGTGAATAATCTGATGAACAGAATGAACTGGTGATTATAATAGAATCAGGGGCATAGAAAGGGAGTGGACTGACTATTCTTGGGGGGGAAAGGGGTGAGGGGGATGCGGGAAGAGACTGGACAAAAATCGTGCACCTATGGATGAGGACAGTGGGTGGGGAGTGAGGGAGGAGGGTGGGGTGGAAACTGGGTGGAGGGGAGTTATGGGGGAAAAAAGAGGAACAAATGTAATAATCTGAACAATAAAGATTTAACTAATAAAAAAAAAAGAATAATGATCTCCCCCCCCCCCCCCAAGATGTCCATGTCCTATCCTCTGAAACCTGTGAATATATCACCTTACATGGTGACAGGAACTTTTCAGATATCTTTATGTTAAGGACCTTGAGATGGTTGGTGGTAATCCTGGATTTTCCAGGTAGGCCCAATGTCCTTATAAGGACAAGGGTCCTTATAAGAGGGAGGTAGGAGGCTTCGAGTCAGAGGAGATGCGATGATGGAAGCAAGTTGGGGGGCGGGGGGATATCCATTTATGTGGAGAGACAGAAATTAAAAGATGTTACTACACTGCTGGAGGATGGGGCCATAAACCAAGGAAGGCAGGAGGCTTATAGAAGCTGGAAAAAGCAAGAAAACAGATTTTTCCCCTACAGCCTCCAGAATGAACACAGCCTTGCTGATCCATTTTTTTTACTTCCCTCCCTCCAGAAAATTTAATAAATATATCTCTTCCTTTTCTAATTTTATCATGATTTACTTTTCACCCTTTAATAACTAAACGTTTAATCCAATTAAAATTGATTTTGAAGTATGGGATCACAGGTAGTTATAATAGATTCCCTCTCTCTCCAAGCTATCTAAACACCAAGTAACACCCTTAAAACATTCCATCTGCTTAAAATACTATCCCAGACTCTTTTCTACATCTTCACCCACTCCCCTTCCTTCTCTGTCACCTGTTTAATCAACTCCTATTCTTCCCAAAGGTTTTAGTTAAAAATCTCACGTTCCCTCCACATTCTGGGTAGAGAGATGGTATAACATGACAGCTTAGGAGCACAGAAGATGGATTCAGATGACTTAGGTCCAAATCTTGGCTCTACCATTTACTAAACTGTGTGACCTTGGGCAGGTTCCCTAAGCGTTCTGCGCCCCATTTTCCTCCTTTGTAAAACAGAAATAGTAATGGGACCTATGTCAAAGGATCACTGTGACTAGTGCTGAGTTAACATACGTAAACCACTGCCTTCCATGTACTGCTCAATAAGCAGTAGTTTGTCAACCTCTTGCACACTCTTGTAAGACTGTGTTTTGAAATTACTTTTCCAATGGAAGGCCATGTAATGGGATGTGAGGAGAATTTCTAGGTTACCTCTTAATCTGTGACAGCTGAGGATAAAGGAGTGCTAAATATGTTATAAACCTGGGGTTCATGAACTTGGATGGGAAAAATCTACTTCCTTATTTTCATTTACCTCTAACTGAAATGAAGCCTTTCTTTTAATTATGAATGTAGGCAGCAAACAATAGCATTAGTGGAGCCTGGTACATTGTCTCCCATAGAAAGCACAGATATTTCATATCACATTACAGTCGTCAGATGTCTTGAGTTATTATTTGCGCTCATCATTACTTAGGAATTATGGAAATTTTAGACTTGCCACTAGATCTTATTATTTAATCCATTAGTAAAGGAGCACACACAGTGTTATATCACACATTTGTCTTTTTAATATTTTGATGACTGTATTTCATTATAATTGGTTTTCTTTGTAAGTCTACTTATCATATTTTATGCACTTACAAGTATTTTTTTCTGAGCAGGTCCATAGGCTTCTCCAGATGCCCAGAGGAGTTCACAATGTTAAAAAACAACAATTCTGCTCTAAAGAAAGTAGTCAACAACTGGGATGCGAAGCTCTCCTCAGGGCATGCTAAAAGGTGAGAGGACTTTATATAACCTCCCAACGTTCTAAGAGGTAGGTTCATTACTATACTCATTTTATAGATGAGAAGAGTGAGACTCAGAATGGTGAGCAGGTTACCCAAGGTCACAGAGCAGTATACTCGTGGTGGAATCCATGCTTTTTAATGACTTCAATATCCTGCTTCCCATATAAATCCTCGTAGTCCCTCTACTATTTCACAAAGTAAATATCGATATCCCGTTTCTCCATTTCACAGATGAGGAAACCGAGACTCAAAGAGGATGTTATTTATTTTTCACTGTTAAGCAACATAGTGGGGATTCAAACCCATGTCTGTCAGACTCCAAAGCCCCTGTGTTCTATTGTGCCCTGTGAAGTTAATTAAAGGTGCCTTGGGAATATGGCCTGGAAGAGCTGATGATTGATCAAATATGTGACTCAGGAAGACCTTTCCATACCATCCACCAGGATTAGATGGTTTGGAAAGAAATTACTACTTTTGCTGCTTTTGCTGTGGGGTTATAGAGCGATACAGGGAGCATCTTCATGAATGTGAAATACACACCGGCATTTGGAAAACTCCATTCGTCACTATTGTCCAGCAGAGAGTTAAAAGTAGGAAGCAGGAGATGAAAGAATACAGAAGTAGGAAGTTCTGTATGAGCTCATGCTGAAACGAAAAGAACCATTATTGGAAACCATTAATGATGAACTTGGTAAGGATAGTCTTGTGATCTGTAAGTCTCATGAAATGAAAATGAGGTAATGTTATGTTTTATAACTACCGTGGATCCGAGAAGCTGGAAATTATCTCAGCATGAATACCATAAAGGATCAGGGAACAATGGAAGCCACCAAGAAAAGAATCTTTATTCAGCTTCATTTATAGCAGATATTCATCTTATGTTTCAACACAGGAATCACAAAGGAGTTTGTTTTACCTTGTTGGGTATGTAAAAATACGAAGGTTATCACAATCCTCATGCTTCCTTCCATAGAGCCAAGGAAGGAAAAGAGAGTGCTATGAAGTGGGGGTTGAATAGCTGGGGCTGAAAGAGGTGACAGGAGGAAAGAGAGAATAGGGGGAGAAGAAAAGAACTAAGAGATTCTTCCCACCCTCGTTCAACCTCCATTCTCTAGACCTGAGCTGTCTAATATGGCAGCCACTAGCTCTACATGACTATTTACATTTATTATGAGTAAATAAAATAAAATAAAAAAATCTACTTTCTCCTATTGCACTAACCACATTTCAAGTGTTTAATGGGCACATGAAGTTAGTGGCTACCATTTTGGATGGTCATCATCACAGAAAATTCTATTGGACAGCACTGAGAACCATCCAATTCCACTTATAAGTCCCAGAGGATTCAGAGTGCAGGACAAATGGAAGCCTATGGCTGTAATATCCTTGGCCCCTGGAAAGACAGAAGAGTAGAGTCTTCTGAAATGGGACATAAGAGTCCCAGGTTCTCATATAACCTTATATGAGCTACTTGTGCTCTCTAGGACTCAGTCTAATATGAATGCTTGATACCACCTTTTACTGGATATTAGAAAATTGCATGATTAATTTTATCTCTATATAATAACAATGTGAGTTATTAGGCCCATGCTACAGAGGAGGAACTAGAGATTAAAGAACATATGTGCTGCCCTAACTGGTTTGGCTCAGTGGATAGAGCATTGGTCTATGGACTGAAGGGGCTTGGGTTTGATTCTAGTCAAGGGCACATGCCCGGGTTGCAGGCTTGATCCCCAGTGGGGGGCATGCAGGAGGCAGCTGATCAATGATTCTCTCTTATCATTGACCTCTCTCTCTCTCTCTCTCTCTCTCTCTCTCTCTCTCTCTCTTTCTCTCTCTCCCTTCCTCTATGAAATAAACACACACACACACACACACACACACACACACAGAAAATGTGGATTGGAGAGCCTGGAGGTACAATTAGACATCTGAGCTGATTTTCAACATGGATGACAAAGTAAAGGGTTAATATAACTTATAATAATAAAAGTGTAATATGCTATTAGACCGGACGTCCTTTCAGATGACCTTCTGGATGAAGCCAGTGCTGTGAGGGAAGCCCGGGTCCCGGGTGCCTGCTGGCAGCTGGAGGGAAACCCCAGGTCCTGGGTGCCAGAGGGAAGCCGTGCCGGCAGCCAGGGGAAGAAGGTAGGTCTACTCTTGCAAGAATTTTGTGCATCAGGCCTCTAGTTATTATATAAAGAGCTCTTCATTAGGGCTAGAACTTTGTCTAGTCAATGGTAAAATGCCAACACGTGTCACACAGTAAGTGTTCAATGAATGCTTGTTGAATAAATAAAATTGATAAGAAAAAGACAGTTCAGTAGAAAAATGGGCAAAGTTACTTAATGGAAGAAGAACTCCTAATGGTTAATAAACATTTGATAGGATATTCAATTTCAGGAATAATTGGGAAAATGTAAATTAAAGCAACAATAAGCTATGTCTCTTCATCAATTGTCAAATATTAAAATAAATTATAGCATCTAGAGATGGAGAGAATGCAAAGTAAAGTTCTTTTATATATGAGTATTTTCCAAGATTTTTGGTAAAGTATTTTGAAAATACCTGTTAGTATATACAATATACTATATACTCACAACTTCCACTTTTAGAAATCTACATAAATAAAAGTACAAATGCCTAAGGATATGTGTTGTTACAGCATGCTTCACAGTGGTTAAAACTTGGATGTAGACTGAGTATAGAGCAACAGAAGAATGGTTGAACCAATTGTAACAAATTTGCATAGTGGAATATTAACCAGTTATTTAAAAAGGATATCATCCCTGCCTGGTGTTGCTCAGGGGTTATAGCATCAGCATGAGCACCAAAGGGTCACAGGTTCAATTCTCAGTCAAAGACAGGTAAATGGGTTGCAGGTTCAATTCCTGGCCCTATGAGGGGTACAAGTGGGGGAGGCAGCTGGTCCATCTCTCTCTCTCACATTGATGTTTCTCTCTTTCTTATTTCCCCTTCTATCTCTCCCTCCCTTCCACTCTTTCTAAAAAAAAAATTAACGGAAAAAATATCCTTGGGTGAGGATTAACATCATCAACAACAACAACAACAACAAAAGAATGTGTCAGGTCTGTGTCTACTAACCTGGAATGATTTCCATAATATATTGTTAAGTGAGAAAAGTGACTACAAAAGAAATGATAAATGGATACAGAGGCAGAGCAGCATTGAGCAGAATGTCAAACTACAGTGGGAACCCTGGGGAAGGTTGGGGGGAGTAGGAGATCAACTGAAGGACTTATATGCATGCATATGAGAATAACTAATGGACACAAAACACTGGGGGGTGGGGGAAGCCGGGGGAATGTCAAGGGGGAGAAAAAAGGAGACATGTGTAATACTCTTTGTAATACTTTAAGAAATAAAAAAAATAAAAAAATAAAATAAAAGGGAAAAAAATGATAGAGATGCCTTTTCTTATGAAATGAATAGTTAAATAGGTATAAGAATACCTGCCAGGCTGTTATGGGGAGGGAGGTATAGAGATAAAGAAAATAATAAATATTTACAAAAGTGTAAATAATCCTATATAATAAAATCCTAATATGAAAATTGACTGAATGGCAGAATGACTGGTGGAATGACTGGTCACTATGATGTGCACTGACCACCAGGGGGCAGATGCTCAATGCAGGAGCTGCCCCTAGCCCACAGGACTGGCAGCTGGTGGGGGGTGGGGCCGGTGAGTGGGCAGTGCCAGGCCAGCCAAGGCGGGTGTGAGTGGAGGGTCCTGATCGCCCTGCTGGTTGCCCCACAGATCAGCCCTGATTGCCGGCCAGGCCTAGGGACCCTACCTGTGCATGAATTTCATGCACTGGGCCTCTAGTATGTTATAATGTTATAGGAGAATGTAAAACAGAAAATATATCTATGGTATCTTGGGAAGAAAAATCTGAAGGTACATAGGAACAAGGACAAAAAGATGACATGTACAAATAAAAACATTGATTTAATTTGGGAATGGAACCATGGATAATTTTTTGGTGTGTAATAAAGTATCTGTTTCATACATATATCTTGAGCAGGAAAGGTTTGATTACTCACTGTGCTTTGACTGTATGAACAGATGCAGAATTATATCTCTTGATCCCAATTCCCAAACTTTATATATTTTTTCCGTTAATTCACTGAGAAAAAGTTACCTTTTCATATTCTTATGTCTTTCCCCGGGGTTTGGGATTTTTAAAAAAATTATACTTGACTTTTGAGAATATTTCCCCTATATTATTGGGCTGGGAGAATATTGGCTTCCTTTTGTTTTAGACTTTGGTGTATGCCCAAACTTAGGAAGAGGATGAGGGATGAGGTAAGGAGAAAAATACCATCCTGCATAGAGAATTGCAAACCGTGGCAAGTGTTCTGAGGGATATAGCAGGGCAAATGAATCATTTTGGCTGCTTGGCCTTTGATCATCCTTCTTACTGGACAAGAGTAGAGGGGGTGGACAGGACCCATCAAAGAGGCCAAGAGGGTGCAGATAGTTCTTCCTACCTCCTGGCTGCCAGAATATGGGGTGTGGCCACTCTGATGTTCCTTCCCAAGACACTGAACCTTGAGGGAATGATACTCAAGTTCATAGTCAGTGAGAGATTGAATTAATGATCTATTTCTGTGTAAGAAATTAGCCTAAAATTTAGTGACTTGAAATGACAAGCATTTATCTCCCAGTTTCTGTGGGTCAGGAATCCAGGAGCAGCTTAGCTGGGTGGTTTTGATTAGGGGTCTTTCACCAGACTGCGGTCAAGTTGTCAGGTGGGGCTGCAGTCATCTGAGGCTTCACTGGGGCTGAAGGATCCACGTCTAATGGCCAAAGGCCTTGGTTCCTCACCATGTGGGTTTCTCTAAAGACTGATTGGGATCCTTATAACAAGGCAGCTGGCTTCTCCAGAGGGCCTGATGAGGAGCAGGGGGCGGGGGGTGGGGGGGGGGAAGGGGGAGAGAGAGAGAAGGAGGGAAGAAGAAGAGGGGAGGTGGGAGGGAGGAAGGAGAGACAGACAGAGAACATGTGACAGAGCACATAAGACTGAAGCCTCAGTAGTTTACAACCGAATCTTGGAGCTGATATACTATTACTGCTCTGGGTTTCCATTGATCACATACTAGTAGACCAACCCTGGTACAATGGCGGAGGGGACTACACAAAGCTGTGAAGACCAGGAGGTGGGCTCACTGGGGGACCCTCTTGGAGGGTGGCTAGCACAGAGTTGGTTTGTAAGACTTGTTCTGTAGCAGGGCCTTGTCTATGTCCCACATCCTGTGGTTCCTGCCTGAACTTGATTCTTCAGCCTTCCTTTCAATTCTATGAGCCACCTGTTCCTTTTCAATAATGTTCTCTTCTACGTATTTAAATTCACCAGCTCTGTCCTTTCTTGCTTGCAATGACAACCTGACCAGAACAGGAGCTATGAGAGAAGACAGCAGTGGGGAAGGTAGGTTGGTGGTGGAGGAACTTCACCTTAGATAAGGTGATCCACGAGGGCCAGGAAGTACCATTTGCCAGGAGACCTGAATGGTAAGGCAGAGTCAGCGGATGAAGAGTGGGAGGAGGGGCATTTCAGGTAGAGGGAGCAGCACAAAGGCTTTGAGGTGAGAACAGAGATGTCTGTATGGGTAAAGTGTAGCAAGCAAGTGGGCAAGTGCAGGGAGAGGTCAGTAGAAACCAGAGATCACCCAGAATCTTGAGGCCATGGGGAAGAATTTGGATTACCTTCTCCCAACCAAAGCCATTTCTTTTTTTTTTTTAAATATATTTTATTGATTTTTTACAGAGAGGAAGGGAGAGAGATAGAGAGTTAGAAACATCGATGAGAGAGAAGCATCGATCAGCCGCCTCCTGCACACCCCCTGCTGGGGATATGCCTGCAACCAAGGTACATGCCCCTGACTGGAATCGAACCTGGGGACCCTTCAGTTCCCAGGCTGATGCTCTATCCACTGAGCCAAACCGGTTAGGGCCAAAGCCATTTCTTGTTCCAGACATTAGAGCCCATGAAGGCTGAGGACCAGACCTAGGGTTTTCTTCTCTAGGAATCAGGATCAATCAAATCATGATTAGGCCATGATCAAGATAGAGACCTATACTTTGTTAACTCACCCATCTGTTGTTTTCCCACCCATCTGTTTTGCTGGCTCTTGGGTTTCCCTAATTTCTGGTTGGGTTATTTCCCGAGTTTCTCAGTTCCCTCTGATAAATCCCAACCCTACTCTGCAGAGCTGAAGGAAAATATTTTTGTCCACAGTTGGACCCGGGAATCCCAGTTAGAGAGGCTAGTCATCTGGGGAAGATTGGCAGCTACCCAGGACAGCATGGAATGAGCAGGTGGATCCCTTCAGTCTCATATAGTCCCACCTTCACTCAACAAACGCTTGTTCAGCATCCAGCATGTTCATGGGCTCTTTGTGGGCATCAGGCTATAAAGATCTTCCTTTTTAGGAATCAAGTTAGGTAGGAGGGATGGCCCAGTCCAAATGTTATTGAATGGGAGCTCCTGTTACTTAGGAGTTGGCACTGTAGCCCATGGCCAAGCCAACATGTCCTATGTACTCTGCATTCCAAATGGGAGCCAGATGCTTTCCCTCGAATGTTTGCTAAAGGGGCCAGAGCTGACCCTCCATCTTAGTCAAAACATCACTTTCTTTTTCCTTGTCCATTTAATAATCCTGATGAGGGAGGAGTTCTCTGGTTTTATTGAGGAATATATATTATGGTGGAAGACGATCTTTCCCACTTTGATTGGGAGTCTCTCATGGAGATTGAGGGGTGAGTGCAAGAAAGGATGCGAGGATGCTGTTCCCCAGTGGGATCTACTTGGTAGTTGACTTGCTGATGTCCCCTGTGCCTATCTGAGCAGGGGAGAAGAGAGGTGGAGAGCGGGGTCACTATGGAGCAGCTGGCCAGGATGCGTGAGCTTCTCTGGGTCAGGTGGAACCTGCAGTAGTTAGTTGGGCTTTCTGATATCCCACCAAGCAGTCTGACTGCTGTGCACAAGGGTCTCCCTAGTGGCAGGAGCCTAGGTAGTGAGACAAGGCAGGAGAGAGAGCTCAAGCCTGAGCTGGATGTCCTCTGTCAGAGAACTGGGCAGTGGGAAAGCCTCCAAGAAACTTAACGTGCCCCTGGAGAAACCATATGTGGACACTTGCCACTCTGGGTTGGCTAGGGAAGCAGTGTTGACAAGAGGGAGAGGGCTATTGCAGAGGGCTATTCGCACCCCCTCCTCTCAATGTCAATAAGGGGAGGGTGCTGGGGCATGTCTCCCAACCAGGCCATGCCCCTCCTCCCCCAACCTTTTATCCAAGCAGGCAGGGACCTGGCTCAAGTCAACCCTTGGATGAGTTAGGGAGAAGATAAAATGAGATTTAAATTGAGTTTGAGAATAAAGCTTTCAAGGATGAAGGTTTAACAACAGAAAGTGATCCAAAAATAAAGCAATCTGCTGGAGATGTCATTAAGGGATGAAAAAGGAAGATTCAACACAACAGGGCTAAGGCTGAGATTAGGGGGGAAGCTTCATTATTATGCCCCACCGAGTTGAGTCGCCTCGGTACACTGGTTTCACGAGTAAACAGAATAATTGAAATATAGTGTCTGCATAGGTAAGCAGCCACAGAAAAACTGAAAGGGCCCAGGGAGGTTGGCTGTTGGAGAGGACTTTCCAAAGAAGGGGCACCTGAGCTGAGCCTTGAAGCCTTGAAGGATGAGAAGGAGTTGGTACAATAAAAGGAGAGTGGAGAAGAGCTTTACAGGAAGAGGTGACACTACAGTCTGGAGCAGTAAGTTGAAGGCAGGAAGGACAATTAGACATGCAGGCCAGAAAGTCCATGGCCTCAGGCCCTGTGAGCTTAAGAAGTGAGGGCTCTGGGGGAGTTGTTTCAAATCTGGGAGCAACACAATGGGGTTTGCATAGTAGAACCATCTGGTCACCAGATTGTGGCAGTGCTATGGACTTAACCCTCAGGCACACTTCTTACCCATTCACCTGGCCCTATGACCCCCAACTCCCATACGAAGGCCATTTTCTCTGTGATTCCAAAACCTGGGTTCCCACTCTTTTACTGCCCTTTGCTCTACTCCCATCACTGGACCCTTCATAGTTCTCTTTGATAGACTCTGAAATATTGCCATCCTCCCCATAAATCGTCTTCTCGCTTTCCTTCTCCGACATACTCTTCCCAGCCCAAGTAGATTCTATGCCTTCTTTGGGTCTGTGCCTGCCAGCACATGTTTCCTCGGGATATACATATACTAAAATATCTTCCCTTTATGCTATCTGGTCTTCGCCCCATGGGGCAACCGAAGATTACTATGTATTCTTTCACACATTAATTTAAGCTGCTTTAATTGCTGCTCTGGTATGTTTTATATAATATAATTAATATTTTAATTCTGTGTGCTTGCTTTCCAAGGCAGTTTTGTGAAGGGCCCAATTTTGAAATCAAGCAAATAAAGAATAAATAATGGCTGAGTTATTATAGTGATGCCCCCGCACCCGAAGGGAATTAAAAGTGTGCTGGTTTTTTTGAAGTGGCTTAAGGGAAAAGATATTTTAATGTTCGCTTCATTCTGGGCCAGCTTGGGTGGCTTCATGAAGTCCCCTGGACGCTGATTTCAAGTGTTTCTCCACTGTTGGCATCTGACCACCAGCTTGAGGTCTGTGCTACCACCATCAGCTCTGCAGCTCCTGCCTCCACTTCCTTCCTGATGGAGCCTGTGATTAGAATGATAAGTTACTGAACCCACTCACTCACTCACTCATTCATTCAGTGATTGTGTATTGGTATTCTACTATGTGCCCAGGCCTGGGATAGATTTAGTCCTGTCTTCAAGGAATTCACAGTCAAATGTGGGCAGCAGGTGGAGTTATAGCCCACCATGATAACACTGTGGGAACACAGGGGAAGGGGGAAGGCGGGGCAGAGTATCTAACTGTGTCTCAGGTGGTTAAGAGGAGACTTAAGAGGAGGCAACATTTAAATTGGCTTCAGGAAGGAGAAGGGAAAGAAGGAAACAGCAAGACACAGTAAGAAAAGACAATTGTGTGTTTAGGAAATTGGGAGGTGAGCATGGCTGAAGCCAATATGCATGGGCGGACATGATAGGGAGTGAATGGGGAGTGGGGACAGAGGTTGGGGCTGAGTGGAGAAGGGCTTGCTCTGCAAGAAGGAGTTTGGACTATCCTGAGGGTATAGGGGAGCCCAAAGGGGTTTTTGTTTTTAAAAAGTATGTTTTTATTGATCTTAGAGAGAGAAAGGAGAGACAGAAACATCTATAGCAGGGGTGGGCAACCTTTTTGTGAGTGCGTGCCAAAACCAGCAAAATCTCCGACTCAAAATTCTTCTGCGTGCCAACCCTAATTTTTTGAGAACATGTTACGCCTACTTGATATCTCTTAAGGTGTACGTATGTGAAGAACCTTGAAGAAATAATAAAATTCATTCGAGCGACAAAAACACGGTATATGATGATGAAAAATACATTTATTTTTTAATGTATACATGTACACTGATAGTCCGACAGAAAACTTTATGTCTCCATTTGATATTATTAGTGGGACTTTTGCTGCTGCATCACTGATGACAGAGATTTTACACCAGGTTTATATTTCGTGACTTTCAGAGATATGCACGAGCTACTACTTTCATCCGTCAGGCTACTCCTATTACGAGACTTAACAAAATTCATCACTGAGAACAAAGATTCACAAACGTATGTGGATGAAACCAAAACACTGGTCGAATCTAGGAAGGCAGGGAGAGTTAAGGCAGAGGCATAGAAATTGCCCTTCCCCTCTCTCGTCAATCCATGTCTATGGTTTTTAAGATAACTTGTTATGTAAAATTATTTATTTATCTAAGATGCACCTACACTGAATTTATCTGAAAAATAAAGTCGATATTAAGAAAAAAATTGTAAATGGAAGATTATAAGAGAGGGTTTCACGTGCCAGCAAAAGTTACTGGTGTGCCATATTTGGCACGTGTGCCAGGGGTTGCCCACCCCTGATCTATAGGCTGCCTCCTGAAGCTGCCTACTGGGGATCCAGCCCATAACCTAGGCATGTGTCCTGACTGGAATTGAACCAGGTGCACAGGTCAACGCTCAACCACGGAGCCACACCAGCTGGGCAAAGCCCAAAGAAGTTTTTAAGCAGTGGAGTGTCCTGATCAGATTAGATCTGGTGTTTATAAAGGGAATTGCAGTATAAATGAGAGGGAGGCGGGGCGAGGAGGGGGGAGGAGGGAAAGGGAGAGAGAAAAGCTGTTAGAGTTGCCTAGCACATAGTAGGGGCTCAATCATATTTATTGACTGGGTGAGGCTGTTGGGACAGTCCAGTTGAAAGATGATGAGCCTCTGAATTAGGGTAGTGGCAGAGGTGATGGAAAGAGAGGATGGCTTCCAGAGGTAAAACCCACAGGGCTCTTTGCATCGGAAGCCAGCAGAATGGGGTTAGCAGCCCTCTCCTCTTCCATCCCCCCAGCTCTGCACACCCTGGTCTTTGGCCTGGCCCAGAAATTCAGAGCTTGGAGAATTATCACCTCAACCACTGTCTAGTTCTAGTTCTTCAGGTTTCATTGGGGAAAATTTGCGCTCAAGGGCACTCCGCCTATCAGAGGCAGAGCCTCGAGTAGAACTCAGGAAACCTGGTGTTTGTTGAGTGCTGCAGAGCAGAGACTGTTAACACCGATTCAAGAAAGGCTTGGAGGACCAGCCTCGAGAAATGTGAGCACAAAAGATGTGTGTGTGTGTGTGTGTGTGTGTGTGTGTGTGTGTGTGTGTGTGTGTGTGTTTCTGCAGAACAGGAGAGTGAGAGTCTCCTGAGATTCTCAAAGAGTCCTAGTGCTTCTAGTACTTAGAGACAGACGGAAACTGAGATGGGACAGAATCTGGTGGTGGTGGGGCGCATGGTTGGATGGATGGACGGATGGACGGACGGGAGGCAGGGACGCCTGGGCACATACAAGGGAATTTCCTTTGAAAGAGAAACTCTAAGAGGGAAACGCTCTTCCTTGAAACGCCTCCCCAGCCCTCCTCCCCACACCCCAGCGGTGGCCTTCCCGTTTTTGGGGGATGGGGAGGGGGAACTTCCTTAGGCCTCTCCACCCGCGGTTGGGACGCTTTCGGTTCTGCTGGGATTCCCGGAGGCAGCGGGGGAAGAACCGTGGGGGTCCTGGTGGTGTCTTCCCAGCCCCGGTGGGGATCTCTCTCCCCTTCCTTCGCCCCCCAGGAAAGCCTGCAGGCTCCTTCCTCTCTCCAGCTTGGCCTTTGGAGTCCCGGGGGCTAAGGAGGAAGAGCCCTCCCCGGGACCCTCCACTCCCCTTTCCCAGCGCGTCCTTAAACTCCCCGGGGAAACTGAACCCGGGAATATCCTGGGGAAATCCCAGACCCGCGAGTCGCCGGGAGCCCCGCCCTCCCCAGCGAGGCCGGCCGCGATTGGCCCGCGGAGACCACGCCCCTTTAATGGGCGAGGCCACCGCTGGGGCCCGGGAGCTACTATCGAGCGGGTCCCGCACGCTCCCGCGCCGCCTGTTTCCGACCTCGCCATGGTCCGCCTGCCCCTGCAGTGTCTCCTCTTGGGCTGCTGGTTCACCGCCGTGAGTTGAATTTCTGCTCCGACCCGACGGCGGAGTTTGGGGTTTGAGAGGGGAAGGGGCAGAGAAGCCTTCCTTCGGGGAAGGGCTCTTCCTACCTGATTTTGTTGAGGACTGAAGGGTGGGTGGAAGCTCGGCCAGGGACCCTGGGGTCTGGCTGCATTAGCTGGGCTGCCTCTCTCTCCTCCCAGGTTGGGGTTCCAGGTCGCCCGCAGAGGGTGCGACGCGGGGGCACTGCAGGAAACGTGCCAGGACAGCGTGGATGGGGTTGCGGTTTGGGGAGCCTCAAGCCTTCATCAGGAAAGGCTGGCGTCTGGTTCGCCTCCAAGGCCGGCCAGAAGTGGGAAGGAAGGCGGGCCGAGGGAAGGGGAGGGTCTGGCTGGTTTCCTGTCCCTTCGCATGTGGACAGATGCCAGCTCTTAGAGTGGTTATCTTCTCCTTGCCAGCTGGGCTGCCTTCTTCCAGGGCATCTTGTGGGCACAAGGGGTGATCCAACCTAGGAGGAATGCTCAAGGCCATGTCTCTGCATCCTGAGTTCAGGATGACATGGGGGGCCTGTGGGGGAAATGAATAGTTCAGGGGACCCAAGAAAGGGTTTCTCGGGGCACCAGAGGGCTCAGACATGCCCGACCAAGCATGTCTCCGGGATTTTCAGAAGCCCACACTTGTCTCACTTTTTGTTTAAGTGTATTTTTGTAGTTCCTCATTCTGGAGGCTGGGAATCCCCCAAGTACCTTACCCTCTCATCCCAACCCCTCTGGTCTCCCCCGACTCTCAGGGGCTGTAGTTTCTGGCATGAGGTCTGAGCAGGAAGGAGCTATGCAGTGGGTGGTAAGGGAAGAGAGTCCACCGGGAAGCTACTTTGTTCCCAGAACTCTCGTTTTCACTCTAAGCAAGGGCTCCAGGGAGAGAGGAGCACCCAGGGCGGAGCTGGAAAGAAGAGAGGTGTGTCGGAGGGAGAGGGGGCAGAGCCAGGGGAGGGCGTGAAGCTGGTTTGGGCTTCTCAGGAGCGTACTCCCAGTTTTGGCTCCAGGTAGACGCTGGGCTGTGACAACTCCAATGGCAGCTGCTACTTAACGAGAGCTTCCTGTGTGCCAGGCCCTGAGGAAGATGCTTTCCATGTGTTCGCTGTCTGGTTTCTTTGAACTCCCCAGTGTACAGACGAGGAAACAGGCTCAGAGAGAAGGAATGTCTTGCCAAAATTCTCATAGCTAGGATAGAAACCTGGATATAAACCTGCATCTGCCTGGGTCCTGAGCCTGTCTCTCAGGTGGTGAGAGCCTTGGTATCAGAAGGACTGGAGGACTGGAGCTATGGAGTGGGAACTGGGGATGGACCAACTTTCAGAGGAGGAACCCTATTTCTCATGTGTTTGAAAATGGCATAAAGGACTGTCATGGCTGTGGGATGTGGGGGGAAGGTCCTCGGTGTTGCAGGGAGAACCTTCACAGGCGCTCCCTGCTCACAGGTGAATGTTGTGATGTGATGATGGCGGCAGCAGCCTTTTCTGTTTCCTTCCCCATTTCGGGTAAGACACATTTCCGTAAGCAATGGCTGACTGAGAGCCACCCATTAGGCAGGGTCCTGAACAGCCAGCCAGTTAGCCAGGACACTGGGCATTCAAGCAGATACTCACATACGTATGATAATCAAAGCTGCTACTTAATGAGCACCTACTATGTTCTAGACACGGTGCCAGGCCACACACAAATGTTCGTTCTCATCTTTACAACCTAAACTGTGGGGTAGGTGTTATTACTCGCATTTTAGAGACGTGGAAACTGAGAGGAAGAGAAGCAAATAGCTAGTAAGTGTTGCAAAGTCAAGTGCTGCAAAGACAGAAAGCCTTAAGTGGTTTGTCTCTCGAACCTGTGCTTTTTTCACTGGCTGTTCCCAAAGCGTGGGATGATTGTAGGGAGCACACGCACACAGAAGTAAACCACAGTGATGCACTTTGCAGTTCTGTTTTAAATCCTTTGATTTTTTTGAAGGAGGAAGTCTCTGGAGTTAGAATATAGTTAGTTAATACTTCTCAACTGCTTGCTAATCCTCCTTTTAAAACAAAAATCAAGAGCAGGCCTGGGGTGGAGGCCATCGGCAAGCAAAGCAACCAGCTGGCGTTTCATAACGTTGTTTTGTTGCTGTTGAATTTTATTTTTAGGCTTACCTTTTATTTATGAGACGTGAGACTGGTTCTCTCTCATGGCAATGATATAAGGTTTACATGGAAAAGAAATGTACATAATTTAGTGAGAAGTAATTAATAGCATGCGTCGTACCTGGAAGTAGTAAAAGTGAGGGTGAGAGCCAAGCTGATGGAGAGAGGGAGAGTACTGAGACCTGACTTCTCTTTCAGATCCTATCACTGCGAAACCCTGTGATTTCAGAGAGAAAGGAAGAGAAAAGGAGAGAGAGAGAGAGAGAGAGAGAGAGAGAGACAGAAACATCAATAATGAGAATCATCCATCGGCTGCCTCCTGCATGCCCCCTATCAAGGATCAAGCCTGAAACCTGGGCATGTTCCCTGAACAGGAATTGAACCCGTGACCCCCTGGTTCATAGGTCAATGCTCAGTCACTGAGCCGGGCTAGTCTGACCATTTGTAAAGTGAAAGTGTTGGATTTTATCTTCCCAGCTTCACAATTTTCTGGCATTTTATGAGGGAGGGCTTAGAGGGGAAAAACACGATGAGGCTTGGACAGGGAAAGGGGTGGGGAGCAGAAGAATAATAGGAGGAAGAGGCCAGGTGCTAAATATAGCCCCAACCTAGGACTAGGACCAGCTGAAGCAGCCAGTCTCTGGGCTCCAGGGGAGGTCCTGGGGTCCTCACGTGCTTTTGAATCTTTGTGAAGAGGAAAGTGTCAGGAGTCCAGACAAAAGGAAGATCTGTTTAGTTCAGAGACTATTGCGAGGTTCAAGCACAATCGCTTTGTAAAAGACCAGCATGATTCTCTGGGTGCTTTTACAATCGTATCAGTTGGCAGTTTAGTTAAAAATAACCAAGCCAACTAGTAGGCAGGCCCCACTGTTCTGCTTTGGATTTCCGCTTCAGCTCTAACCCCTCTCCCGGCTGATTTTCACCTTCCTGCCAACGAGGCTACAGCAGAGATTCCCAGATCCCCTCAAATGGCCCAATTCTGTTTTTAGGTCCACCCAGAACCACCTGCATGCAGTGAAAACCAATACCCCATAGAAAGTCAGTGCTGTAATCTGTGCCCGCCAGGTGAGACGCCTCCTTCCAGCCTCATGGTGGGACCCCTCGTGGTTTGCTGGCAGATGCAGGCTCCATAGGTCATCTGTAAACCTGAGTCTTAAATGGCCCCTGGGATTGCCCAGCCCTGCCCTGCTGTCAGAAAGTTGTGGGTTCCCTCTGTGCCTACTCAGGACTAAGGTTCCTGTATCTTCCTTGGCCCCCCACCCTCCTACCCCTGACCTGACTCTGAAGGCTGGAAGGCTCTGAGACTGTCACCTTTGAATCCTCTGCCCGAAAGCCCAGCCTGCTCCCAGCCTGCTCAGTTTTTGGTAAATGTCTGACTCCCAGAGTTGGTCAGAGCTGCCTCATTTCCTGATGCTTTTTCCAGGACAGAAACTGGTGAATGACTGCACAGCGGTGACCGACACGGAATGTGTTCCTTGCAGTGAAGGCGAATTCCTGGGGACCTGGAGCAATGAGAGGCGCTGCCATACGCACAGATACTGCGACCCCAGTGTGTGGGCTGCGGGGGACCGGTGCTTGGGAGTGGGGCTGATATTCCAGCTCATTCTTTTTTTTTAAAATTAATATATTTTTATTGATTTCAGTGAGGAAGGGCGAGGGAGAGATAGAAACATCAGTGATGAGAGAGAATCATTGATTGGCTGCCTCCAGCACTCACCCTACTGGGGATCGAGCCTGCAACCCGGGCATGTGTCCTTTACCGGAATCGAACCCGGGACCCTTCAGCCTGCAGGCCAACTCTCTATGCACTGAGCCAAACCAGCAAGGGCTTCCAGCTCATTCTTGACAATGCAGCCATTAACCCTCGCCCCCTCCCCTCCCTTTTATTAAAAATAGAAAGCCAGGGTCTGTTTGGATTGATTGGAGTCTAGGCTTATACTGGTTGTTAAATAATTTGACTGCTGTCCCTACTTGGAAGAGGGTCTAAGAAAAAAAAAAGCAGGAAGTGTGAGGAGTGGGGCTCAGAGAGTCCCCAACAAGGGTTCCCATCCTTCCCACCCATCTCTGCGCAGACCTAAAACTCCGGGTCCAGAGTAAAGGCACTTTGGAAACAGACACGACTTGCACGTGTGACGAAGGCCTACACTGTGTCGACGAGGTCTGTGAAAACTGCGCCCCACACAGCTCTTGCCCCCCTGGCTTTGGGGTCAAGGAGATCGGTAAGTGGCCTGTCTGACAATCGGCTCTAGAGGCAGGAGGGAGGAGTTGAGGGCCAAAGGCAAGGGGCTGGGCAGTGGGCACTCAGCCCAGAGGTGGACGGAATGGAGACTACAGCCTACATCAGGATGCCTCCTAGAGTGAGCAGGAAAGGAACCCTTCTCATTCCGGCTCCTGCCATGGCATCTGCCTTGGGAGGGCAGTGGGAGAAGCCTTCCCAGGGGCTGCAGCAGCAGCGGAGGCTCTCCGCCGGGGAGGAGGGCTTAGAGCAGGAAGACTGGGAGCCAGACAGGTAGTCCGTTGTGTGATGAATGCCCCCTTCTCCCTCCCAGCGACAGGGGTTTCTGACACCATCTGCGAACCCTGCCTGGTCGGCTTCTTCTCCAATGTGTCATCTGCTTATGACAAGTGTCATCCTTGGACGAGGTATAAGAACTCATGCCTGGTGTTTTCTGTCCCAAGAGGGGCATGGGGTCTGCTTCCATCCGATCCTGCTATCTACCCTTCAGCCCCAGGTCCCATGTCCACACACACTCATGCCCGTGTAAAACATCAGAGTGACCTCATGGACAACTGACCAAATGGGCACTTTTTAGCATTTTCTTGTCTGTGCTCTGTTGGTGGTAATAGACACTGTTGATCTCTCCAACTTCGTGAAACTCTCTTTCCTTGGGTACATGGTGACATCTCTCCTACTTTCCTTCTCCTCCCCTGGTCCTCCTTAACTGGTTTCTTAGGCCTTTGTTCTGCTCTACTTTTTAATCACTTTGCCTGCCTCCCCTGGACCATCTCATCCATATTCATGGCTTCGAACTACCAGCTCTCTCTACCATCTCTCTCGGGTGGTTCCCAATCAACATCTCTTGACTAGATTTGTCTCCTGGATCCCAGACTGTCAAATCCAACGGCCGAGGGTACATCTCCCTGCAAGTGACCCACAGGCACCAAATGGGCTCACCTTCCTGCTCCCCTCACCCTCGGTGAAAGCTACCACCATGCCTCTGGGCACTTGTCCCGTAGTCCCCCCTCACCTCCAAATCAGTCACCTTCTTGCCTTCCAGATGTTTTGGGACTCCTCCCTCTCACTATCTCAGTGGTGCCATTTTAGCCTGGGCCTCATCACTGTGGTCTGAATGGTGCCTTAGCTCCTCATTGACCTCCTCACCTCTAGTCTCCCCCTTTCATCCGGTTCTCCCTTCACTTGCCAAAGTGAGTTTTCTGCAGTTCATTTTAGATTACAGCACTCTCTATTTACCGTGCTTCACGGCTCGCTGGGCCTTTAGGTTAAAACCCAGACTCTCTTGCATGGCCTCTGACCTTCCTGACCTCTTCCCACCTCCTGCTACTTGCAGTCTCCTCAACACACTGTTCATACTCTTGCATCAAACTCGTCTGCCTGGACTACGCTTTAACACATGGCCCATTAACTTTTTACATTTAATTTTAAAAAATGGGTAAGATAGGCGCCTCCGACAGAAGGCACAAAAGGGCGTACAGCGATAAGTCTCCCTTTCACCCCTGTCCCTCAGCCCTCCAGTGCTTCCTTGGAAGCAGACACTTCCTTGCATGTCTTCCCATCGACAAGCACACAAACACATACGTGCTCATGCGCAAACACTTATTGTCCACACAAATTGTAGCATCTCATATACACTTGGTCCTTTGTTTACTGTCTGCCTTTTTCGTAATAGGTTGCAAACTCCTTAAATGTAGAGACTTAGCTCTTTTCCCCCTTCCACTGATGCATCCCTTATGCCTAGACCAGTGCCTAGAACATAGTAGGTGCTCAATAAATTTGTATTGGTCAATGTTGACTGATGAATGGTGGCACGTTGGGGCAGTAGAATCAGAGCGCTGGGTTCCAACCTCACTGCAGCTGAGGAAGGGTGTGGCCCTCATCTCTCTGAGCCTCAGTGTCCTCATCTGGAAGTTGGGGATGACCTTCGTCTCATGAGGCTTGAGGAAAAGACTGGTGGGAGTGTTTTGTAAGCTCATGTACACTCTCCTCATGTGTATGCTGTCTTTGAAGTTTCTCCCTCTTCCCCCACTTTAGATGTTTTTTTTCTTTGTGACGTCCCTCTCAGACCATTCCTCCTCCTCCTCCTCGGACCATGTTGGACCTGCTCTTCTATATCTAGACTCCTTCATTGGCCTCCTGGCTGGCCACTTCTCTGCGATTTCTCCTCCTGTGAGCTCTCTGGCCAGCTGAGTCCTCCCACGACTTACGTCATGTGATTGGATGCTGATATGACTCACAGCTGAATCCCGTTGAAACCTTCATGGCTGACTAGCAGTGATCGGGTTCTATCAGTGATCGGGTTCTAAAGACCCAACTTTTCCATGGTTCCACAATGCATCTGGCATGTCACCCACCTAATCTCTGTATCACATTGTCCTGCTTAGTGGGAATGTACCACGGCTCTAAATTTTATGTCCTTCGGGCCGACCCAGACCTAACTTCTCCAGGGGAGTCTTTCTGGACGACCCTTAAACCAGAGGTTCTCAACTAAGCAATTTTGACAATATCTGGAGCCGAGACTGGGAATGGGGATTCCACTGACATCAAGTGGGTGGAGGCCTGAAATGCCGTTGAACATCCTACAGTGCATGGGACAGGCCCCCGTACAGAGAGTTATGTGGCCCAAAATGTCAGTGGTGTCGACGAGGTTGAGAAGCCCTGTCTTAAACCAAATGGATCCTGTCTCCATTCCTGCCTTTGCAGATTTCATCTCCTCTTCTCTGGACAATTCCCAGTTCACTTTAGCCTATATCACAAGGCTTGGCACTCATTAGAGACGCTCCAACGATTACCCCTTCAAGATGTGTAATAATCTTTCCTCTGCACCCACGAGTGCCATAAGAACAGAGTTTGCACCGTAACCAGCACAGGAGGTGCATGAAATACGTGCTGAGTGAAGCTGGACTTGTTGGTTGTTGATGGTCTCCCTCTGGGGTTGGAAGTCTTATGGTTGGCAAACTTAATGTCTCATTCTCTCTCTCTCTCTCTAGTTTTTTTTAAAAATAATTTATTTTAATTTTCTATTTTTAGGGCAAAATCAGTAATGTTTTTAGAATAAACATATGATACATTATATGACATACCTTATGAAATCTGAGTTGATGGACTTGTTTTCAAAAGTTATAATCTACAAATGATTGGCTCTTTACACTTATAATCTATGTTTATAAATGCTTATATAATTCTGTATATTTTAAAATATTCTCTCTTTCTTTCTCTCTCTCTCTCTCTCTCTCTCTCTCTCTCTCTCTCTCTCTTTCTCTCTGTGTGTGTGTGTGCACATGTGTGTCCACACAGCTGTCAAAGGCCTGGTGGAGCTACGGGCAGGGACTAACAAGACTGATGCTGTCTGTGGTGAGTCCTGGAGAATGGGTCCTGGCGGCAGGCTAGGGAGGTAGGGAGGTAGGGAATACAAGCCGAGCCTGAGGCATACAGAAACAATGAGTGGGAGGGGAAGTGAGAGGAGGAAGCAGTTTGGAGTGGGGGTGGGCAAGTCAGCTCCCCTCTTGAGCCTCAGTTTCTTCATCTGTAAAATGGGATGATAACAGCACCTCCCTGAGTGGGTTGGTGGAAGTGCCTGGCATGGGTTCTTGCACTTTGGAAGTGCTTCATCGAAGCTATTCTGCAGCCCCCCACACACTTCAAGGACCAGCATGGTGTGACACGGTTTCCTCTCAGGGCCTCAGCTTTGATTTTAGAACGAGGAAGTTGGCCAACAGCACAGATCACAGACTCAAATAACTACAGGGACTAGGCAGGTCATGTTAATAAGTGAAAAAGGTCAGAGGTGAGAAAAATGCACTCTCTTTGCTTTTTTTTTTTAACATTCATTTTCCTTTTGGCAGGGCTGGGTGAGTGAGGCATTTACCTTGGGCACACTATTTAAAGGGGTGCCTGAAAAATGCAGTAATCAAGATAACATTTTTTTTGTTTTGTTAATCCTCACTCAAGGGTATTTTCCATTGCTTTTTAGAGAGAGTGGAAGGGCGGGGGAGAGACACACAGAGAGAAACATCGATGTGGGAGAGACGTATCAATTGGTTGCCTCCTGTGCACACCTGGACTGAGGCCAAGGATTGAGCCTGCAACTGAGGTATCTGACAGAATCAAACCTGGGACTCTTCAGTCTGCAGATCCATGCTTTATCCATTTAGCCCAACTAGCTAGGGCAAGATATGCAACAGCTTGATGTAATATTTAAAAAAGAATAAAAGTCAATGCAAAAAAAATCCATAATGAGCAAACTATAAAATTTTAACTAATGCCATGGTCCAACCTTGCATTTGCATGACCCTGCCTGACTTGCCTGAGCCTAATTTCGGAAACTTTATGAAAAAAAACAAAACAAAACAGGCAGCCAACCTGTGGGCCATAATTTGGTGATTTGATTTTTTAAAACATGACATTAAAATATTTCCTTGATTACTGAGTTTTTTTTGTATCCCTTTAAATTTTGTCCCAAGGTGTGTGCCTTACCCTAGTCCAGTGGTTCTCAACCTTCCTAATGCAGCGACCCTTTAATACAGTTCCTCATGTTGTGGTGACCCCCAATTTCATTGTTACAAATTGAACATAATTAAAGCATAGTGATTAATCACAAAAACAATATGTAATTATATATGTGTTTTCCGATGGCCTTAGGCGACCCCTGAGAAAGGGTCGTTCGACCCCCAAAGGGGTCGTGACCCACAGGTTGAGAACCGCTGCCCTAGTCCCTGCCCTGCCTCCTAGTCTTCCTTTCGTTTTCTCATTTGGAATGGAAACTGAGGTACAAGAAACACGTTAATTTCCCCTCTATTCTTCTATAACAAAGGCAACAGTGCAGACATAAATGATGTAGGTCCTCAGCACCTCAGCAGGGGGCACAGAGTGGGGAAGGAGGGGAGTGTGGGGAGCGGTGGGGAGCCGGGCACTCGGTTCTGGCCAGTGAGTGCCAGGTGGGGCTGCTGGTCCAATGGGGCTAGATGCCCACATTTCTAAGAGAAACCAGGTGTCTAGATTTTAAATCTGCAGGCGCCCCCAAATGAAAAGGTTTAACATAATTTAAAAATGTGCTGGTCACACTAAAGACATCTGCTGGCCACGGTTCACCAGGGCCACCTGTTCGAAGCCTGTCAGGGATGAGCTCAGGCCCGGGAGGATTGTAGAGTCTGGGGAGGTCCAGCAGCTTTGGGCCTGGGGGAGGGAGCCATCGCTGAAGTCTCTGTTTCTCCAGGTATCAAGCATCGGAAGAGAGCCCTGGTGGTGATCCCCATCGTCGCAGCCCTCCTGTTGGCTCTGCTGTTGGTGCCTGTGTATTTCTGTGAGTCCCCACACAGGGAGGTGACGAGGAAGGCGGGAGGGAGGAGAAGGTCAAGCAGAACCGGCTGCCTGTTTCCTTATCTGGCCTCACCACTAAGTCTCCACCTCTCTATTTTTTTCTCTCTAGGGAAGTTGCCCAAGGTAAACTGCAAGGTAGGTCACCCCTGGGCACTGGCTCTGAATTTGGCAAACTGCAAAGAAGATGGACTCACTGGTGCCTTTATGGCAGTAAAACCGATTCAGGGTCTGCCCTGTGGCCAGTGGGGTGACAGCAGAACTGGCTGGTCTGCCTCCCGACCCCCCAGTCCCATTCCCGGGACCCAGAGCTCCTCCCGTCCCCTCCCTCAGCGCCAGCCTTCCTTATCCCCAGAGCGCACCTCTCCACAGAGCCGCCCTGGCACCATGGCCAAAGTCAGTGGCGTCATTTGCTGTTCTTTCCTGGCATGCAACACGTGGGGAACCACTTTGGGGCCTTGGTGCAGGCCAAGGGCCAGACCGGAGGGGCACCTCCTTAAACCCACTGGAAGCTTCTTGACACCCTCAGTGTGGCCAGCAGGGGGCAGGAGGCGCCCATGGAATCCGCCCTGATTGGGGGAAACGGGGCGGGGCTTGGGGAGCATCCCCTTGGCGGGGAGGGCTCCTCAGAGGTGTTGCTGAGGATAACCTCACCCCTTGGCTCACCAGACCTCCTGCCCTGAGAACCCCGGGAAGGCCAAGGAGGATCCCCAGGAGATGGAGGACTTTCTTGACCCCGGCTCCACCGCTCCCGTGCAGGAGACCTTACACTGGTGCCAGCCCGTGGTGCAGGAGGATGGCAAAGAGAGCCGCATCTCGGTGCAGGAGAGACAGTGAGGCTGTGTGTGCCGGGAGCATGGCAGTGTGGACAAATGTGCACGTGGCCGCGGCGCCTGGAGCTGCAGCTGCGACATGAGGGCGAGGGGCTGGCGCTAGGCACAGCCCCCCTCTGCCTGCACCCCTGCGGCTCAGAAACAGTTCACTCAGGGGAACCTCCTACTCCAGCCTGGAGCCCATTCAGCCTCCCAACTTGCTTTTAAAGATGGAGGCAAGACTTTTTTTGGGGGGTGGGGTGGGGGGCGGGGGCATATAGTAACATCATCAAACCCTCCAGCCCAGCCGTTCAGTGCCCACGTGGTTTCTATGAGCCCAGGGGGACATCTACATGAATATCATTGCAGTGTCGTTTGTGACAGGGGACAACTGGAAGCAACTTAACTGTCCATCAACAGGGGACTGGCTAAATAAAATGATAATATATTTATGTAACAGGATCTCAGAAACACTCATGGGGAAAAAAGCAGGTTGCAGAATGATGGGCATGGATCTTTTTTTTTTTAAAGCACACACCCCTAATCAATATGATCTATCACCTGTGGGCACGTGTACAGACATAACACATGCTGTATATGTAGGTGTAACACGGGTTCTGGAAGGATACACAGGAAATGTGCAGCTCATGGTTGCCATGCCCAGGTTGGGGAAGAAGGCTCTGGGGGAGGGTTGGTAAAGAAGATTGGACTTTTTCATAAGGCTTCATCCCCCCTCCCCACAAAGGAGAGTGAATTCACATACTGCTTATGTAATTAAAGTCATCAAACGTGAAAAAAAATGGGGGTGGACATGCTGGGTGACATGGTGGCTACATTTGTGTCGGGCTCACAGAACCAGGGCACGTTGGGAGGCTGAATAAGAATGTCCCCAGGCTGCCGGCCCTCCCTGTGTGCTCACATTTGGCACCACGTTTGCAAAGGATTCTCTCCATTTCATTCATGATCACAAAACAGCCTTGGGGACAGGCAGGGCCCGCACCCCTCCCTCTTTAACAGGTGGAAACAGAGGCCCAGAGACATCAAGTGACTTGCTGATGGTTGCACAGCAGTTTGTAGTGGTGCTGCTCAGAGCTCCCCACTCCTGGTCCTGCCCTGCTTCTCCCAGACCTGCCTGATCTCTGGAACCAAAATCTGTGGCTCCTTCCCAGGGCAATCTTGGGCCTCCCACCTCCTTCTGACCTCCCAACTGCGACAGGAGCTGTGCTTCTCAGTCAGATGGCACCCCTTCCCCCAGCAGTATCTTAGGATAAAAATAACCATCCTGTTCTCTTTTCTCGCTGTGCCAACTGAGGGGGAGCCTGGCCAGGAGGAGCAGCAGATGGAGTCGGAGCAGAGGGGAGGGGAGCGGAGGGAGGGAAGGAAGGGTGTAGGGCAAGGAAGAGAAGGAAGAGCCATGCAAAGCCCTGGCACAAAGATTAAGATTCATGGTGTGGATGAGGCCAGGCTGGTTTAACCCAGGGATTGCCCCCTACCCGCTAAGAAGCTGTTTTGATTTCCCCAATGTGTCCTATTGCCTGGAGGGCGGGGTGGAGAGGGCTTGTCCCCCACGAAGACTGTGGGGGCAGCTTGGAATCCAGAGAGGCACCTGGCTTGGCAGGCTTCCCAGAAGGGCTCCAAGAACCATTTGGAGGCACCAGGTGGAGAGGTTTGGTTTAGAAAGTGGAGCAAAGTGGTGGTGTGATGGTGCGGGGACCTCACCCTCTCCTACCTAGAGTCCAAATGCTAGTGTTCCTTCTGTGCGTGGCTGCATGGTGGATAGAGACAAAGGACCCAGCACCTCTGCCACCTCTCATCCGTGGGTTACTGTTCATCTTTTACATCTCAGGTTCCCCATCAGGCAAACGGAGACAGTGCTGTCGGTGCCTCTGGGTCAGCGTTCTCGGTCTTGAGCACGTATCAGCATCACCAGAGAAGACAGGCTGCTGGGCCCCACTGCCAGGGCTTCTGATTGAATGGGTCTGGGATAGAGCTCAAGGACTTGCATTTCTAACCAGTTTCCCAAGTGACGCTGCTGCCGGTCCAGGGGCCGCACTTTGAGAACTTGCTTTTGGCATTCAGATAAGCAGTTGGTCTTCTATTGCAAGCACGTGGGATCACTTGCCTCGGGGTTTCCCTGGTCTTGAAAACATGGTTGGGGGAGGTGCAGGGCAGGTAAGACATACCTGGGGAGTTAATAACACGGAACACTGTCAACCAACTAGGCCTGCGAGTTGGAGGGTGAACTCAGCCTCCTTGCCCTTGGGCGGGCAGACTGAAGAGCGGTCTGCAGTGTCCCGTGGGTTCCCTAGAGCAGTGGTTCTCAACCTTCCCAATGCCGCGACCCTTTAATACAGTTCCTCATGTTGTGGTGACCCCCAATTTCATTGTTACAAATTGGACATAATTAAAGCATAGTGATTAATCACAAAACAATATGTAATTATATATGTGTTTTCCGATGGTCTTAGGCCGGTGGTCGGCAAACTGCGGCTCGCGAGCCACATGTGGCTCTTTGGCCCTTGAGTGTGGCTCTTCCTAAGCCTTAGGAGTACCCTAATTAAGTTAATAACAATGTACCTACCTATATAGTTTAAGTTTAAAAAATTTGGCTCTCAAAAGAAATTTCAATCATTGTACTGTTGATATTTGGCTCTGTTGACTAATGAGTTTGCCGACCACTGTCTTAGGCGACCCTGTGAAAGTGTCGTTCGGCCCCCAAAGGGGTCGCGACCCACAGGTTGAGAACCACTGCCCTAGAGGGACGGAGCCCCAGCTGCCCCTCTGCACTGGTTTCCTTCCTTTCCCGGTCTCACTTCCCCATCCCCTCTGGTGTTATCCGGGTTCAGCTTCCAAAGACACTACCTGCATTCCTTCCTCGTCACAGATCCTGCTTCTGGGAGAAGTCCCTCTCAGAGCCAGCAGAGCTCACGCCTAAGGAAGTCTGTTTTTGTACAGTAGTCCTCCTTATCCGTGGCTTCAGTTACCTGTGGCATCTGCGGTCCAAACATTTTAAATGGAAATTCCAGAAATGACATTCATAAGTTTTAAATTGCGTGCTTGTTCTGAGCACTGGGATGCAATCTTGCGCCGTCTGCTTTATCCCTCCTGGGGCGTGAATCATCCTCTGTCTCAGCGCAGACCCGTGTGCGCTCCCACCCGTTAGTCAGTAGCTGTCTCCGTTATTGATCCATTATCAGAGAGAGGGAGGGAGACCACATTCCATAACTTTTATTCCAGTAGATTGTTAAAATCGTTCTATTTACTATTGGTTATTGTTGTTCATCTCTTACTGTGCCTAATTTATAAATTAAATTTTATCATAGGCATATAGATGTCTATATATTAGAAAAGATGGTACATAGAACATGCAGGGCTTGGCACTACCCGTGGTTTCAGGTATCCACTGAGGGTCTTGGAGTGTATCCTCTGTGGATAAGGGGGTCTGCTGTATATCTTGGGGTCCCTGACAAAAGGACAGGGTTGATCTTTCTTTTTGTTAATCCTCACCCGAGGATATTTTTTTAAAAATTGATTTTTAGAGAGAGTGGAAGGGAGGGGGAGAGACAGAAACATTGATGTGAGAGAGACACATTGATTGGTTGCCTCCCGCATATGCCCAGAATGGGGCAGGGGATGAAGCCTTCAACGGAGGTACCTGCCCTTGACCAGAATCGAATCCGGGACCCTTCAGTCCGCAGGCTGACACTCTAACCAATGAGCACCCGGCTAGGCCGGGACAGGGTTGAACTTCCTGGCCGCTGTAGCAAGTTCTGTGTTTTAAGTTGTTTTTTTTTTAAATATATTTTATTGATTTCTTACAGAGAAGAAGGGAGAGGGATAGAGAGCCAGAAACATCGATGAGAGAGAGACATCGATCAGCTGCCTCCTGCACACCCCCCAGTGGGGATGCGCCCGCAACCAAGGTACATGCCCTTGACCGGAATCGAACCCGGGACCCCTGAGTCCGCAGGCCGACGCTCTGTCCACTGAGCCAAACCGGTTCGGCAGTTCTGTGTTTTAAGTGGAACCCGGCCCACGTTCTGTGACCTTGGGAAAGCCACTCCTTGGTTCTGGGTCGCCCACCCCCCACTCCAGATGTGTAATGAAGGCCTGGGGCCCTAGGCGTTCTAAGGGTCTTGCCAATTCTACAAATAAGTGCAGAGGATAAACCCACTACAGGGTCCTCTCCTGGCTGAGTGGAGGGTAGGTGTGAGGCACGCATCATCCAGAGGGTGGCGCCAAGGTAACATCTGAAGACCCTGGTGGCTGGCTTTTGCCAGCTCTCACTCCACATCCTGCCCTTACTTGGAGACGAAGACTTGCCTCCCTCCACACATGGGTCTGGCCTGCTGCCGCCTGTACTCTGCAACTGCGTCTGTTCCCCAGGCCGGGTCTCCCTCGTCACTGCTTCCTTCCTTTAGCAGCCTCGACTGCATTGCCACTGTGGTCCCATCCTGAGCTAGGGTTGTGCACACTGAGAGTGTGCACAGGCTGATGTTCATCATTGCTGGCCACAGGGCTCAGAACTTTCTTTGTATTGTCTTCATCCACAGGACAGCCCTGCACGAGGCATAGTCTCTTATGTCACCCATCTCACAGATAGGGCTCAGAGGCGGAATGACTTGCCAGGGCCTGAGGACTGAGAGCTGGGATTTGGACCCAACTTGGTTGACCCAAGAGCCTGTGGTTTTTACCCATTTAGGGTGCAGAGAAACAGGTCCACGCTAACACGCCTTTAAAAGACAGCGCGACTGCCCAGGACAGAGGGGAAGCCCAGAGCTGGAGCAGCGAACCTTTAGGGCAGGGTTGCAAACTCACGCACACAGGCCTGGAGAGTGAGGCGGGCTCCTCTGCCCCCGAGGAGACTGTGTGGCAAACGGAGAGGCTCTGCCCCTCTTTGGGGCAGCATCTACAGCTCCTTCCAATGGTTGCTCTACGGAATGAGCGCTGTCTGTTGCTGGGAATCCAGATTTCCAGGAGAAACCACCCAATATTTCAATGCCACCAATTCCAAAAATTAAAAAACTTGGCGAGAGCCCAAGCAAGCATGTCACAGAGGCTTGGGATTAAAAGAGACTGGGGCCTGGCTGGTACGGCTCAGCGGTTGAGCATCGACCCAGGAACCAAGAGGTTGCCGGTTTGATTCCCGGTCAGGGCACATGATTCCTGGTCAGGGCACATGCCTGGGTTGCGGGCTCTATCCCCAGGGGGAGCCATGCAGGAGGCAGCCAATCGGTGACTTCCTCTCCCATCGATGTTTCTATCCAGCGCTCTCCCTTACTCTCTCTCTCAAAATCAATAAAAAAATATTTTAAAAAAGAGAGAGACTGGGAATATCATTGTGCCTGGCCCTTTTGTTTTATATGTGGGGAAACTGAGGGCCTGGGAGGGTCCAGAGCCCCGTTAGGCAACATGGCAGGGGCAGGCTGTCTCCTTCCTTGCACCCCAGCCAGGAGG